AGCATTATTCAAATAAGGCCTTATTTCATCACATGCATTCCTGATTCTGTCTATTAGCATATCTCTTGTGGTTACGGGAGTCTGGTACACTTTTTCTTTTAGAAATCCCCACACAAAGAAATCTAATGGATTTAGGTCAGGGGATCGTGTAGGCCAGGCGACAGGTCCTCCGCGGCCGATCCATCTTTCTGGATAATTTTGGTCAATCCAGTTTCTAACTATTCTCGAATAATGAGCTGGACAACCATCAAGCTGGAACCAGGCCAATCTTCTTAAATCTAACATAACATCATCCCACATATTTGCATGTTCAGCCTTTAAAAATTCCAAGAAGGTCGCAGCATTTAACCTTGCAGGCAAAAGGTAGGGTCCAAATACTCGGTAGATACCAATCCACACGTTCACACTAAATTCATGCTGAAAATTTCTTTCCCGAACTGCATGCGGATTTTCATGCGACCAGATATGTTGATTATGAAAATTTACCAGACCACGTCTAGTGAAGCATGACTCATCGGTCCATAAAACGTTACTTAAAAACTCCCTATTATTATCAGTTATATCAAGAATCCACTGACAAAATGTGATTCTTCGTTCTCCGTCCCCTGGCTGTAGTCCTTGCGCAGGTTGCAAATGGTAAGGACGTCTATGCTCATTTCTAAGAACACGGTGAACATGGCTTGCTGAAATTCCCAAGGCACCATAAACTCTCCTAACACTTGTGGTCGGATCTATATCAAACTCACGCAGGATCATACGGGTAAATCTGCGCTGACGAACATTTATGTTTTGATCCCTTTGGAGATTTCCAAAACCATTTTCAATTATTTGGCGATGCACTCTTACAAATACTGAGCGAGTTGGATGTCGTCTGTTTGGAAATCTTCGTGCGTATTCTCTGGCTGCTTCTGCTGCGTTTCCATTTACAAAGCCATACACAAAATGAATATCCGCTAACTCTTGATTTGAGAATAAAAATGGCATTTTTATAAAACTTACAAAAAAAAACAGGTAAAAGAAACTAAATTTCGTGCGTTCACAATTGCAAAAAAACGTTTCAGGTTTCAACAGACAACAAAACTAACTGTCAACTAATTGACGTTTAACCTTATTCTGCTTTCAATTTCAAAAATATTTGCAGGCACAGCCTAATTCTAAAAATTATCGAGATACTGACTTTTTAACGTTATTTTATCATAAATACTAAAAATGCATCGAACCTTAAAAATTGAAATATCTCAAAAACGGCTAACTATAACGAAAACTCACAGGAGAGCTTCTTTATGTTGAAAAGTGCGAAGAATCAGTATTTGTATTCAAAAAGCAAAAAATTGCACTAAGAAAAATTTTTCGGTCATTTTAATACACTACAGGTACAGTAGAGAGCGCCCTCTAGCAGCTACAGTAAAACTATGCCCATGGTTCATTTTGTCGTACCAAAAGACCTTTGTATACCAATTTTCACTATTATAAAAAACTATTTAGAAAGTAAATTTAAACACCCTGTATTTCGGAAGCCACGCTTTTTTCGATATATGTTTGTATAGACTTTATGCATTAATTTTAAAAGTTCTATCGAATCTTAAAGTTATGCAACAATAAACTGAAACACCCTGTATTTGGTTACAGGAACAGAACAGAAACGGTAAGACAGAAGGTAGATCTGATCATGCCATTATAAAACATCTCCCACTGATGTCAAAGGTACCACATTAACAAGCACCAATTCCCTACAATTCTAATTTTTAACCCCTACAAAGTAACGTCTTAAAATGATCAGGAATTTTCGAAATGTTAAAAACGATTTTTGAGCGATTTTAGCTCCGCCGACACGGATTGATTTTCAATACCTAAACAGATTTTTCGTCCTTGGCATAATAGAAACTTTGTGTCAGAATTATTGAGAAGCTTAGGATTAGCGAACAAACTGACGGAAATTAGTAACATGGTAACATTCAAAAAACATATCTCATTTTCAAAATTCTTTCGCGGTTACAATTGTGCGGGAAATAGAAATTACTAGAAATTTTATCAATTTCCGAACAACGCACACCGAATCCACAATAAATAATAACGAAGTATACTTTATCTGAAGTCACTTGAAACACTGTGAAATACCGGGTGCCTTTTTTATATCTATATTTTACACGCTCTGTTGCTGCAAAAATCGCCAAATTTCGCAGCAAATATATATATATATAAGATCAAAGGCAGTTTCACCGGTCCACGTGGAGTAAAGCACGCCTATGCGTGGACATAGCCAATGAGAAAGCGTGTATTTCAGAGCTCCGACCAAGTGCAGGTGGCTACTGAAAATTGAAACAGTTTAGCCAGTGCCGTGTAGCGGTGAATAAACGTGTTTTCTTTAGTCTGTCCGTGTTTTTTCATAGATTTTATTAGATTGTGTGTTTTTGACTTTTGAATACTCAGTTTACTTGTTGACTTAATTGTTGTGTTGATTGTTCTTGTGTGTCCTAAATATGGCTCTTTGGAGACCTTGGGAAAATGCTCCAAGCCACGAGGAGATGGTTGATGAACCTGTGCAGGCAGAATTCTTTCATAAAGATTTAGAGGAACAGACCCAAAGAGTAATCCTAAATATGTATGATTGTCTGAAAAACGAAAATCCAGATTCCTCGCGAAATCAAATTTTAAACAGAATTTGTATCCTGACAAAAATCAGTCGGTCTACCATTTATCGGGTTATAAAAAGGGGAGATGTAGTCAACCATTCCTTCCACAGAAAGCGCATAGGGCAAAAATTAAAAAGAATAGACGTGGGTTTTCAGGAAGATATTCGTCGTATAATATACGGATTTTATAAAGAAAATTTGGTGCCCACGTTGGAAATGATACGGGATAAATTAAAAGATTATCCTGAAGATTTTTATAATTACAAATGCTTAGACTCACTGCACTGTATTGTAAAACTGTGTGGTTTTCAATACAAAAAATTAGATAAAAGAATGGTGATTATGGAGTCGTCTCGAATCGTTGAATTGCGCCAAGAATTTTTGCACAAAGTTAAAAGCTATAGAGAGCAGAAAAGAAATCTGATTTACCTGGATGAAACGTGGTATGATACCCATGATGTTGTGCAGTACGGCTGGGTTGACGACAGCAACAAGTGCATTTTAAATGCACCAAGCACCCGTGGAAAACGAATCATTATTCTCCATGCTGGCAGTGAAAATGGATTTATACCTAATGCCTTGCTGTTATCTGCCAAAAATATCAAAGAATCATGTGCCGACTACCATGAGGACATGACCTCCGACTTATTTGAAAAGTGGATAGAGCAGCAGTTAATACCAAACATTTCCTCCAATTCAGTGATTACTATGGACAATGCGCCATACCATTCCCGACAGAAAAACAAAATTCCGAATACAGGCACAAAAAAACAAGACATTATTGATTTTATGAAGGATAAGGGAATGGAAATACCACAAAAATCAACCAAAGCCATATTATTGGATCTTATTAAAAGACAAAAATTTGAAAAAGAGTATGTTGTCGACAATCTGCTTCAGCAAAATGGCCATGAAGTATTACGTCTACCTCCATATTACTGCATTTTTAACCCGATTGAGTTGGTCTGGGCTGCTTTAAAAAAAAAGTAAGAAAACATAATCAGACCCCTCAATTAAGTGAATCGCTATTGGCCACAATAAGAGATGCAGTATCTCATATTGCTGTCACAGACCTATGGAAGCAGTGTTCTAGGCATAATTATTGAAAAAGAAAATGAATATTGTGTTTTGCCTCCTGTAAATCCCGTTGTTATTCCTCTACAAGATGACTCTAGCGACAGCTCCGAAGGCGAGGATGATATATAAATACCTATAATGTAAGTCTTTATATACCTTTTTATATACCTACCTGCTATGTAAATATTTGCCTATGTCAAACGTTGGAATTCTGTAATTTTTCCATTTCTTAACTTTCAGTCAACATAAATTAAACTCCCAATATAAGTATTTTTTATCCCAAATCAAAAAAATAAGAAGATAGTAAAATCCATTTATTGTGATATAAAAACATTATTATTATCGTTCTAAATAAATAACCGCACGCCTATGATACGTCATGAAATTACAAAGGACGCGCCGACCAAAGGTTTTTATGCTATTTCAAGTGACTTCAGATAAAGTATACGAAACTCAATTGAAAATTATCCACAAAGTTATAGACTGACATAAACAATGGCGTCAAATAAGTTGACTCGGCACTTTCCACGCAACGCAGTTATCAGTTCATGAAGGATCATGTTCCTCACAAACTAGATCCCATCCCCCAAGTTTTTTATCTATGAAATTTACTTCAAAAAGGATCAAGATCTGAAACGCCAAAAACGAAGTTTCAGCGATTTCTATTCTTTTTCGTTTTTGACCGTTTTGTCTGCCGCCACTGGACCGATTTTCAAAAACTACAAGGCTTTCCCGTCGTTCGCATAGTAGTAACATTGTTTAAAAATTTCATCGAAATCCGTCCGGTATTTCTCCAGTTAGAGGCGATTATAAGAATAAAGATCGATAGACAGACCATGTCACTCATGTAAGTCGGTCTTTACATGAGTGACATGGTTTTTGGTGATATACATAACATCCAAAAATAAAATTCTCGAAATGTTTCGCTATTACAATACTTCCTCGCAACAAAATTGCCTACTGATATAGGTATGATAATGGATCATTCTAACAAATTTCCTTAAAGACCTGAAAATTGTCAGAAACGATAAAATTCGTAGCGAGCTTATAGTTACACGAAATTATACAAAGATTGATATGTAAGTCATCATTACCTCAAATTCCATCAGATAAAAAAATACTGATAATCATCTCAATTTCGTCACACCGCACCGAAAGCACAATAAACAAAGCATCATTTCCAGTTATACACGAAACAACACACCTCGAGGATCGAAACGAAAAATGTCAAAATGTACTTCCAGCATCGAAGCAGATTTGTAAATGTCATAACAAACGGTGAATTATTACCTTATATCTAAAAAATTACTGATAATTCTCTCCAGTTTGTAACACCGTACACCGAAAGCACAATAAACATTAACGAAGCACTGAAACTTCAAACACAATTCTCAATTATCCACAAATTCACTGTCACTATCACGAAAACAAAAGAAGCAATCGGAATACCACGAAATTAATGGGTTACAGCCCATATTTGATAATAGCGCCTGGGATCCTTCCAACAAGTTTTATGAAAGTAGATTGTATACCTGGGATTCGACCCGGCCCCCCACACGCGGCTTCATGAGGTTACTCTCCCATTGGCTCAGATTAAATGTCCCAATTTTAGGCAGTGTTTCCTACCCATGCCAGTAAAATGGCTGCACACCGACCCAGCTGCTTTACTAATGGCCGGCGGACTGTGAAAAAATCAACTAAAACAGCATTGAGCATTTCGCGAATTGTAGTTAGAACATGCGCTTCAAGGAAGTGGATATGCAAATTACGATTAGTGTTTTTTATCAGCGGATATTGGATTAATATCGATAAATAATTGATAATTCGGTTGTTGTCGATGGATTTTTTTCGTAGTTCATAAAATATGATCCTCGACTTCCTGTCATAATATAACTACAGGGTGCGGCGGAGAGGATGGACGGTTTTGAAAAAATCATAAAATAGTTAATTTTTACTCGAAAACAAATTTATTGATGGAATCAGGTTCACAAGGAAATAGCTTTTGAGACAGTCAAGTGTGGAAAATCACATCAGGCATGTGGCGGCCGAAATCGTTGATGCAGTGCTGGAGGCGTTCTTGGAGACTCTCTCCAACATCGCTCTCTCAACTTGGGCGACGTCTACGCGAATTTCGCGGAGATCCATATGCAAAATTCGCCTTTACCGAACGATCACTAAGGCGAAGTGCAGCAGCATGTTTCCGGACAGATCGAGTCGGACTGCGAAGAAAGACCTGTCGAACATTTTCAGGAGTTCGAAACTGTTCGCGGCGCTCCTCTTGGTCTTCTGTTGATCAGTTCACCACGTTCAACCCAACAAAGGATGGTGTTTCGGGAGGGAACAACTCTATTCCGATGAATGTTGAAGTGGCGACGAAACTCACGCTGTACGACGATGACTGACTCATTATTCCAAGGCTCCATAACGACAACTGGTAAAATGATGCTAGGATCTCACGAGTCTAACGGCACCCTCCCCACCTCTCTCGTAGACTGAGGCGGAGAGTACTACCCATCCCAAAAACGTCCGTCCTCTCTGCCACACCCTGTATATGGTTCGATTTCTCACACGCAGCTTTTTAATTTCAAGTTGAGCAGCTCCAATCAGGAAGAGAACCACCAGTCGGCGGTAAGTCCTGGATAACTAACACAATCGTTGATGACATCGGATACTGTGCAATCCGTGATGCACTTGTGACTGATGTCAACTATGACAGCTCATATCACGTGTCACTATCAAGCAAAACAGTTTGGAAAACTACAAGTTTTTTGTTAATAATAATAATAGCATTTTATTGCAAAATTGAAAGTCCATTTACGATGCAAACAATACAAGAGGTGCCACACCTAAAATACTGCTAAATATACTAAATGACATATAAATCCGAACACCCAGTTTAAATGGTTTTATTTTAATAAAAGTTGGTGAATGTATTTATCTTACTGTAAATAACAAGTGAAAAAATGTTCAGCCTTATCAGTTGGACATTCCGGTTTTTATACTGCTTTTTTTTAATTCACTAACGCTCTAAAAATGAATATTTCAGCCGCAGTAAAGAATCAACTTTGGCGGATTTTGGTTCTTAACATCCTTTACGATCGGTTACGATGCCTAGAGTACGGAGACCTGTACGATTTCGCCAACTTAGTGAGTTTGATAGGGGCCGTATAGTGGGACTTCGGGAAGCTGGACTTTCTTTTCGGGCAATTGCAGTTAGAGTGCAAAGAAGTGTAGACACTGTGGTTAGGTGTTGTCAGGCATGGCTTCGAGAAGGCCGTACGCAAAGAGCAAGGGGCACTGGACGCCGCCGTAGAACAACAGACCGTGAAGATCGCCGCCTAAGATTATTGGCCTTAAGGGACCGTTTCTCCACTACCAGGTCCATTGCAAGTGAATGGTTTGCAGAACACGGAAGACCTATTGGCATGCGAAGTGTTTACCGACGAATGAGAAGTTTTGGCTTGTTTTCATACCGGCCACACTGGGTCCTCCCTTTAACTCGAGAACACCGACGTAATCGCTTTGAGTGGTACAGACAACGGTCACTCTGGGATCAGGAATGGAACAGTATTGTCTTTAGTGACGAGTCTCGATTTTGTTTAGGCAATGCACGATGGTCGTGCCAGGGTTAGAAGGCGACGTGGTGAAAGGAGGAATCCACAGTTTTTTGTTGAAAGACATGTTCATCACACTGTTGGAGTTATGGTTTGGGGTGCTATAGCTTATGGTTCCAGGTCACCTTTAATCTTCATCAGAGGTAACATGAACGCGCAGCGTTATATCCACGAAGTTCTAGAACCCCATCCTTTACCCTATCTTGACACCCTGGCAGATCCAACTTTCCAACAAGATAATGCCCGACCACATGTTGCAAGAGTCAACAATAGACTTCTTTCAACATAATGATGTCACATTGTTACCATGGCCACCAAGATCTCCCGACTTTTCCCCAATTGAGCACGTGTGGGATATGATCGCTCAATTTGCAACGTCCTCCTCAGACTCTAGAAGCACTTCGAGAGGAGTTGGTGGTTGCCTGGAATGAGATACCACAGGAGGCCATTGACCACCTGATCAGAAGCATGCCTAGGCGCGTTGGAGAATGCGTAGCACATCAGGGTGCATCCACACATTATTAAAGGTCAAAGGGCTTTAAAGCAGTGCAATCATTTTGAAATTTTTATCATTTACTTATTATGCTTCATTAAGTACTTATACAAAATTTTATTAAAATAAAACCATTTAAACTGGGTGTTCGGATTTATATGTCACGTAGTATACAATCCTAAAGCTCTGCCTCCGACGGAGAAATGCATCCATCGAGAGCTTTTGGAATATCTCAACAGTCAACGAGGTCAACTGTGGAGTTAACTTATCCAGTCATATAGTGGGGTCCATGCTGATGCTCCTGATATTACGAAAGCTTCAGATCAGTTGTGGTATGATGCCCCCTTATGCAGACTTGTACTGCTGCCGGATAAAGGATGGAAAACTGGTGTGCTAGAAACCACGGATTAAGAAGAGCAGGAATCATGAACTTTCATTGATTTTATCATCTGTAGTTTTGCAAATGGGTGGCTGACTTCATCTCTGATTGACGAGTCCTTCTGTTCATCCCACCGCGGGTGTTCCCCAGGGATCGATGTTGGCTCCAACACTCTTTCTGTTACGTATCAAACGACCTCCTTGCCTTCACGGTCAATCCGATCCACAGCTTTGTTGATGACACCAATTTAACATGAAGGCATTCGAGTGCCATGCCGATGTCTGCTGATAACTTTGTGAGAAGACTAATTCCGACTAATAGATCCCATTTCGATGAATCGCCGAGCTCTGTCAAGCAGCTATTCTTGTATGAAAACAGAAGTTAGGTTTTAGAGCCCCACGCGGAAATTTACGCGATTCAGTTTGATACTAAAAGAGAATTGTCGATCGAAATTTAAATTTTCGCTAACCTCAAACACCCTGCGAGGACTGCAACTCAGAATAAGGTCAAAAACCCTTTAATATAAACATCATCACAAACGAACTTTTCATGGTGACAAGACGAAGTTCCATGGTGACAAGCCGAAGTGTAAAAATAAATGCAAGATCATCAGATTCTATTACGTTATGTCAGCACTTTTTATTCATACTGATTGAACTAGAACGATGGAAAAAATAAAAACAGGTGATGTTTATTTTGAGGCGGAAGGAAAACATTTGCATCCTCATGTCCTTGAGATTATGTACCATTGAAAGGTTTGACAGGGTTTCCGTACTGACTGATGCAGTTACTTTAAGCGTTAAATCAGGCAAGTACCGTGATCCCAATGTATTTCGGATATGGAAAATAGTTTTGGGTTAATTCTTCTGAAAATGTATATATGTAGAACAAAAGCTTCGGTTTAACAGAATTACAGATTATGACAACATTTAAAGGAATTTTAAATATACTGTGACATATAAATCCGAAACACCCAGTTTAAATGGTTTTATTTTAATAAAAGTAGGTGAATGTATCTATCTTACTGTAAATAACAAGTGAAAAAATGTTCAGCCTTATCAGTTGGACATTCCGGTTTTTATACTGCTTTTTTTTAATTCACTAACGCTCTAAAAATGAAGATTTCGGCCGCAGTAAAGAATCAACGTTGGCAGATTTTGGTTCTTGACATCCTTTACGATCGGTTACGATGCCTAGAGTACGGAGACCTGTACGATTTCGTCAACTTACTGAGTTTGATAGGGGCCGTATAGTGGGACTTCGGGAAGCTGGACTTTCTTTTCGGGCAATTGCAGTTAGAGTGCAAAGAAGTGTAGACACTGTGGTTAGGTGTTGTCAGGCATGGCTTCGAGAAGGCCGTACGCAAAGAGCAAGGGGCACTGGACGCCGCCGTAGAACAACAGACCGTGAAGATCGCCGCCGATTATTGGCCTTAAGGGACCGTTCTCCACTACCAGGTCCATTGCACAATGAATGGTTTGCAGAACACGGAAGACCTATTGGCATGCGAAGTGTTTACCGACGAATGAGAAGTTTTGGCTTGTTTTCATACCGGCCACACTGGGTCCTCCCTTTAACTCGAGAACACCGACGTAATCGCCTTGAGTGGTGCAGACAACGGTCACTCTGGGATCAGGAATGGAACTTTAGTGACGAGTCTCGATTTTGTTTAGGCATGCACGATGGTCGTGCCAGGGTTAGAAGGCGACGTGGTGAAAGGAGGAATCCAGTTTTTTGTTGAAAGACATGTTCATCACACTGTTGAAGTTATGGTTTGGGTTGCTATAGCTTATGGTTCCAGGTCACCTTTAATCTTCATCAGAGGTAACATGAACGCGCAGCGTTATATCCACGAAGTTCTAGAACCCCATCTTGACACCCTGGCAGATCCAACTTTCCAACAAGATAATGCCCGACCACATGTTGCAAGAGTCACAATAGACTTCTTTCAACATAATGATGTCACATTGTTACCATGGCCACCAAGATCTCCCGGCTTATCCCCAAT